AAAACGACAGCAACTTGTCTGTTCCCCTTCCCCCAGTTCCCCAGCACTGTTCCCATCCCCCCAATTCCCCAATAAAAATCTTTAAAAAAAAAAAAAGAAATTTATGTTTGCAGTGGCAGTGTAGGGAAATGCATGTGTGTATATAGTAATTCTGACACCTCCTTTTCCTACAGGAAACAGGATCAAATAAGCCAACAGGTATTCCGTCAGATAAAGATGTAATCCTTGCAGAGGCAGCCCTTGTTACCAGCGTTGTGTCCTGTATCCTTTCAGACCTTTCTCTTTGTATTTGCTTCGTCTGTATACACATAGTTGTAGATACTGATTGGTGGGTGTTTTCCTTTTTTTTTTAAATCAACATATTGTTTGCGTTGTTCTGCAACTTGTTTCCTTTCCCATGCTGGTATCTGGAGGTCTTTCCATGCTAAGATGCATAGGTTTACTTCTTACTTTATAATTGTTATGGAGTACGTATTCCTATTCCTCAGTTTAGAACAGTGATGTCTAACAGAACTTTCTGTGATATGAAAATATTCTGTCAGCTATTCAGTATGGTAGCCACTAGCCACCTGGCTGGTGACCATGAGTCTTTGAAATGTGCCTAGTGTGAGTGGAGAACTAGATCTTTAATTTTATTTAAGTTGAATTAATTTAAATAGCTACATGTTTAGATGTTTGAAGCACAAGTTTAAATGAACCCGTTTTTTCAGCTATTTCCCTCTTGATTGGATATTAGGTTGTTTTACTTTTTCACTCTTTAAATTGAAATATTTTATTTTCAAAATATATTTTAAGTAATGCTGCATTGAAAATTCTTGTACTTACCTTTCTGAGTATGTCTATGGTATTTTTCTGAGATACATTAAGAAATGGAATTGCTTGATTGGAAAGTATCTACATTTTAAAGTTTTTAAATAGATATGAAAAAATTGCAATTTTCTGAAAAATTAATATTAGTAGATATCACAAAAATTGCAATTATCTGAAGGGGCTGTATTAATTTACATCCCCAGTAACAGTAAATATGACAGTACCTGTTTCCCCATGCCCTTAATTTTGCCATTTAATGGGCAAAACAATACTAAGTTTATTTGAATTTTTTACTTCCCTGATTTCTGGTGTGATTGAGCATCTTTTCATGTGGGTTTTTTTTGGGGGAAAAGGGGACAGAATTTTCCCCATCTAAAATAGTGTTTTATCTTTTTGCCGTGGCTTTAGAATTTCAGTATGATGTGTTTATGGTGGATCTTATTTCCATTCATCTCAATAGATATTCAGTGAGTCTCTTGTTCTCTGGGAATTTTTTTCCTTTAATTTGAGTGTTTCACCTCTTCTATTTTTTTTTTTTCGTTCTTTCCTTTTGAAACATATGTTGAAAAATTTGGATATAGTCTCTATATTGTTTAAATTTTTTCCCCCCAAGGTTTGAGTTCTTATAAACTGCATTGTGGGGAAATTTCTTGGCCTCATCTCCCATGTTTGTGCTTTAGCTGTGTCTATGGCCAGTCAGCTACTGAGGGNATGTGTAGCCAACAGCCAGCATGAGCGGCCAGTAGCTGCAGTGAGCGGCCGTCCAGAAGCCGGCGACTGATCTGCCTCGCCTGGGAAGAGTGCAATGATGGTGCCAACTTGGGCCAGTGAAGCAACGTCCTCCACAGCTAGACTGAAGAACAAAAAGGACAGCAACTTGCCTGTTCCCCTTCCCCCAATTCCCCAGTGCTGTTCCCATCCCCCAATTCCCCAATTAAAAAAAAAAAAATTGAATTGACAAGTTGTAATCATAGTAAGGGGAAAAAGTCATCAAAACTGACCATTCTAACACAGCAACTACTTTTATTTTAGCCTCTTCACTTTCCCAGGACAGATTGGGATATTTTACAAACCTTATGTATTATTTTGTGTTGTGCTTTTTCAGGTAACATCCTAAGTGCCTCCCCCTTGTTTCTAAATTACCTTCAGAGTTGTCGTTGTGTATGTATATGTGAATGTGTGTATATGATTAGAGAAGGCGTGTGTCACAGAGCCTTGGCACAGAGAGAAAAGGATCAAAAGTCCCCATATCACCACATTTTAACACAGACACTTCCTATGGAATAAATTTTCTATTGTAGCATTTCAAAGAAGGCAAAAATAAAACAAAATCTGATAGAACCCAAACCCCAGCAACCTCCCAAGCATCCCTCTTGAAAACTCTGTGACAGGTAGTTGGCTGAAGGGAGCGGCCTGACCCAGCAAGCCTTCCTGACTTTGCCTCTCTTCCAGCCCTGATCCTGGGCGGCCCATTAGGCTTACTTCCTGCTGTTTGGGGAAAGTTTTGCTTTAAAAAATTTTTCCAATTGAATTTTCCTCATACTTTTATTTATTTATTTTTTTAAAAGATTTTATTGGGGAATTAAGGAGGGGAACAGCGTTGGATAATCAGGGAAGGGGAACAGACAAGTTGCTGTCGTTTTGGTCTTCAGTCTAGTTGTGGAGGACATCGCTTCACTGGCCCATGTTGGTATTATCATTGTGCTCTTCCCGGGTGAGGCAGATCAGTCACTGGTTCCTGGATGGCCGCTCACAGCAGCCCTTTCCAGCTGCCGGCTGCTCATGCCGGCTGCCAGCCACTCACAGTAGCTTTTTACAGCAGCCCACTGCAACTCCACTGCAGCCTACACTGTCGCTGGTGACTCACGGCAGCCCAGCTCCAGGTCAAGCTGTTGTTCACCATCTTGGCTGTAGAGGGCACAGCATCACTGGCCCTCATGTGGGATCCGAACCGGGGTCCTGCTGCTCAGAGCTGGCGTCCCAAGCCAACTCCTAACCAACGTGTGACTCGGCCAGCCCTCCTCATACTTTTATAGTGATCATTTCAAATATCCTTTACTGAGCCAATGGATGAAGGTTCTTCATTTTCTCCAATTACAGGCCTGTGCAGTTTGTCTTAATATTTTAAGACAATATTTGTCTTAATATGGCTTTGCCATGCCTATTCAGGAAACCTCAAGGAGCTATAACTTGCTGTAATATAATTACAGAGATACTCCTTTGTTCCTATTATCTTTGCTATTTTAAGACTTTAAATTGTTGTGAAAATCATGCATTTTTGTGTAAGGAAAACCACCCTGTCTTTCCCTCCTGTGTAGGGAAAATTCCAGTTCTCTGCCTCTTGCGGCGTCTCATTTATCACTCATTCAGAACACTTCACTTCTGACACTTCTGGCCACCAGATGTGTAGGAATTTCCCCCCTAAACCTGGCAGTTCTCCATGACATCAGCTGGGTGTCCTACAATTTAAGTTCTGACACTATCTACCTGGAGATAGTGTTGGATCCTACAGGTTAAGGGCTCAGCCACACAAAACAGCCCTCCCTTTCAGATGCCAATCACAAGCCCAGTTGTCACTTGTGTTTCTTTCTGACCAATTAGCTAGAAATCTGAGGTTCCCACCATCCCCCTCCTTGGGTTTGATTAAGTTGCTAGAATAGCTCACAGAACTTAGGAAAACGGTTTACTTACTGTTTACCAGTTTATTGCAAAAAGATAATAATAAAGGATACAGATGAACATCGAGATGGAAGAGATGTGTAGGCCAAGGTATGTGGGAAGAAGGGGCACGGAGCTCCCATACCCTCTCAGGGTGTGCCACTCTCCCAGCACCTCTATCTGTTCACTGACCTGGAAGCTCTCTGAACCCCATGCTATTGGGATTTTATGGAGGCTTCCTCATGTAGGCACGATCCTTCATTAACTTGGCATAATATAACTCCATTTCCATCCCTTCTCCCCTCTCTGGAGAAGGGAGAAGGGACTGATGATTCCAGCCTCTAATCTTGACTTGGTCTTCCTATTGACAAGCCCCCATCCAAGAGCCACCCAGAGTCCCCTCAGTAGAACAAGAGATGTTCCTAGTGCTCTTATCACTTAGGAAATCACAAGGGTTTCTGGAGCCCTGTGCCAGGAACTGGGGATAGATACATATATCTATATTCATATCTATATAGAGAGATATAGATATTCTATTTCACAATCTCGTATTAAAATATCTGAGAAATAGAGATGCTGAGTTTTTTTGATGAGAGCAAAATTTTAATATCCTATTTTATATAACACTTCATACACTACAACTGGTTATTAAACTATTTCTATGTTTTTGTCTGCTCTATTTTGAAAGGTCTGACTCATCTTATTACTATGGATTTACACCAGAAGGAAATTCAAGGCTTCTTCAATATTCCTGTGGATAATTTAAGAGCGTCTCCCTTCTTACTACAGTATATTCAAGAAGAGGTGAGCTAGCTCAAACTTTCTTATTTTAACATTCTGTTTAAGGTTGAAAGACATTTCATTATGGGTTGTCCGTAAAGGATTAGAACTTGACATATTCTGCTTTAAGTATTACTTACTTTACAAATGTAACTCAAATGTATTTTTAAATTCTTAATCTGCAATTTATTTCTTTTGCAAAGCTCTTTAGATTGCTTTTTCTTCTTTTGGACTCAGGTACCTGAGTTGGACTAGTGACCGTGACAACTCACTCTCATCATTGGTGCACACGTCCTGGGCCTCTTATATGTACCCACCTGTTTTCCTTATCTCTCTGTCCATCCATTTATAGCAGTCAGCATTCATGGTCCTACTACCCAGCAAGTAAAGGAAGATCATCATAGTAACTTACATCCTCTCATGTGGTCCTTCGGCGTCCCATCCCCCTGCCTCCTCCCGCCTGAGGGAGCCATCATCCCGAATCTTGTTTCATCTTTCTCCCTCCCAATTTCCTTTTTGTATAGTTTTATATCATTCAGATATATATATATATATATATATATATATATATGTTATTCAGAGACAAAAACAGTATATATATATATATATATATACATACATACATATATATATATGTATGTATGTATGTATTAAACTTTATAAAAAGGAATCAAACTGGAATCTTTGGGGAATTTTTCCCTTGACATTATGTTGGTAAGAATTCATCCATTTTGACTACTGAGACTACTCCTTGTGCAGCTGTTGTCACCGTTCATTCACAAGGTTTTTGCTGTTGTGACAGGGCTCCTGTGAACATTCCTGTGAGTGAGTGTCTCCTGTGGTACCTAAGCAAAAGTGTGTCTTGGTTATGTACCCAGGGTGGAATTGCTAGGTTGTGTGGTGTGTGAGTGTTTCATTTTTTCCAAGCAGTTATGCCAACGTACATTCCCACCAGCAATGAATCAGATATCCTGTGGATCCATCTGTGCTTCAATACTTACATTATCAAAATTAAAAATTTTTACCAGTTGAATAGAAAGCTCTCTGATGACTTAGGTATCTTGTCACTTGGATGGAAAGCTCTCTGATGACTTAGGAAGTTGAACCTGTCTTCAGTGTTTCCTCTTCTGTGGAAAGGTGCTTAATGCCTTTTGTCTTCAGTGATTTTGTTTCTTTGTGAGCTATAGGCATTCTTTTTAAATTCTTGCTTCTAGCCATATGTTAGTATTTGTTTCACATATACCTGTCAGTTTGTAACTTGTCTTTTAATTTTTTGGGGGGAGTCTTGATAAGCACACATTAAATTTTTTCTCAATTAGGTGAAATTCACATACCATTTTAACACAATTTAGTGGTTTCCAGCACATTACCAATGTTGTGCACCCGTCCCCTCTGTCTAGCTCTGAAACTCTTTCATCATTTCAGAAGAACACCCTGTACTCATTAAGTAATCACCCCCCATTCCTTCTTCCTCTAGCCCTTGGCAACCACTAACCTGCCTCCTGGCTCTGTGGATTTGCCTATTCTGGATATTTCATATAAATGGAATCATACAATATGTGACCTTTTGTGTTTGACTTCTTTTACTTAATGTAATGCTTTTGAGGTTCATCAGCATTGTCGCATGTATCAGGACTCCATAGATTTTTACCAGGATTTTTAAAGGAAATTATGAAGAGAAGGACTACAAGTATATTTTCATTGTGTATGGAGAGATCCCATCTTATTTCATCAGTTTTTAAAATAGAAGCTTCTGGAGTTATCCTGTTTCTAATTAAGTTGCTCCCTCTCCCCCTCCCCCCGTGTTTGTCTTAGTGTCTTTGTACCAACGCATTCTCCTTATCACAGAAATGAGCTATAGCAGGAAACAGAAAACAGGGCCAAGGGTAGAGGTATAGCAAAGGATGGGGTGTAGAGCATTTCTGTGTGATTCCCCAAGTGGCCTTAGTGACATTGTCCCTTAATGGAAAGTTACTGCAGAGTTTGGAAGTCAGACTTCAGGGGAAAGTTACTGCAGAGTTTGGAAGTCAGACTTCCTTGACGTGCTGTGTTTTTCCCCTCCAATTGATAATGAGTAATCTTTTATTAAAAAATGAAATTTATGGGGCCGGCCGAGTGGCGCGATGGTTGGGAACTCGCTTCGGATGCCAGAGGGCCCCGGTTCGGATCCCACATATGAGGGCCAGTGACACTGCCCTCTACAGCTAAGATGCTGGACGGTAGCTCGACCTGGAGCTGGGCTGCCGTGAGTCGCTGGCGACGGTGTAGGCTGCAGTCCCTGTGGCAGTGGGTTGCCATGGGCTACCATGGGCTGCTG